CTATCTTGCATTCAACCTCCACTCACTTGCAGGTTATGGTAGTGGTAAGCTAATCTGAGCTTTTGTGTTTCTCTTTTTGTTTATTGTGTTCATATTGCAAATCTGAGCTTATTATTGTAGATTTGAGCTTATTGTTGTAGATCTAAGTTTATTTTTGTAGATCTGAGTTTATTGTTGTATAAATTTTGTAGATTTTGTTGTAAATCTGAATTTTATTGCAGATCTAAATTTTTTGTTATTGTTGCAGAGCTGAATTTTGTTGATTTTTTTGCAGATCTGAATGTTATAAATATAGTAGATTATGTTGCAAATCAATATTTTAACATTTCCTTTTCTTATTGTTGTAGATCTGACCTTGTTTATATTTATGGTTTTGTTCTACAGATCTCAACAAAGCTATTGCTTGTCTCCGCCGGATTTAAGTGATTTGAAGGTTCAAAACATTAATTATACGGCGCCTGAGTAGACTTCTCGAGCAGACTTCTTGAGCAGACTTCTCGAGTAGACTTCTTGAGCAGATTTCTCAAGCAGACTTCAGTTGCATACATATTTTTCAGAGATTTTAGTTTAGTAGTGATTTCTTATGCCAATTTAAAGATTTATAATCAGTGATCCTTAAATGTTAGTTTGTTTAGAGGGTTATTTTCTATGTAATGTTGAATTGCATTGAATATTTTGTATCATATTCCTAAATTATGTGTGTTTATGTATTCTACAAAATAGACATCACTGTCAGACTTCATATTCAGACTTCTCAATTAGACTCTAGTAGAATTCTCTTGTCTTAAGTAGTCTTCTCTTGTCAACCGAGTAGACTTCTCCTGTCTCGAGTAGACTTCTTAAAGACATTAATTTTACATAACTTAAAAGTGATTCAGAGGAACATTTCCCCCATTTATATTACATAACTTGTCAATCGAGTAGACTTCTCTTGTCTCGAGTAGACGTCTGAAGTAGACTTATCTTGTCTCGAGTATACTTCTTAAAGACATTAATTTTTACATAACTTAAAAGTGATTCAAAGGGACAACATTCGCCCTCCTTTCCTATTCGCCCTCCTTTACAACATTAGCCAAGATGCTCACCATGTGTGCAACCATATCTTAAGAACAACATTCGCCCTCCTTTGCTATTATCCACCTCAAACTGCCACACTGATTCACTCCTCACCCATTCTCCATAAACAGCGGGTATGTAAACCATTCTCTGTAAAAAAACAAAATCCAAACCACATTAGAAATCAAAATTGAATAAGTATACTCTTAATAAGCTAAGTATCATATAAAACATAAAAACTGATTCGACTATACCTATAAAATATAAACATGTAAAACTTATGCATAAGCAAAAACACTTACTAAAAGAAGCTTAGGATCACAAAAATCTTAAAAATTTGTTCTATATTGTATAAAATTAAATTTCAAAAAAAACAAGAAAATTAGACTTCTCGCAGGTTAGTTTTGCAATTGCCAAAAGATTAGTAGACTTCTCCAAGAAAAGTAGACTTCAGTGAGAAGTCTACTTTTAGAAGTAGACTTCTCACAAGTCAATTTTGCAATTGACCAAAAAGTCAAAGATTTTTTAATTGCAAAAATGACCTGTGAGAAGTCTACTTCCAAAAGTAAACTTCTCCGAGAAGTCTACTTTTCTTAGAGAAGTCTACTCTGAAAAGTCAAAGGTTGGTTAATTGCAAAAATGATCTGCTTCTAAAGAAGTCTACTCGAGAAGTCTACTTTATTTTTTTTGTTATCAAAGGAAATGGAGTAGACTTCATTCGGACCAAAAGAAGTCTATTTTTTTCATGCGGTCAATTGCAAAACTAACCTGGGCGTTGACTAGTAGACTTCATTCGGACCAAGAGAAGTCTACTTTTGCAGCCCAAAACTTAAAAACACGAAAATTGACTGAAAATTTCACTTACCACTCGTCTTTAGCTCATTTTCTGGTTGAGATCTTCGATTCTAGCTACTATGAAAGAGACACAACCGCAAAAAATGACCAACTCGCCGGAATATAGAAATATATATGAACTTCAACTTTCTAATAGTCAAATTATAGAGTTTTGGGAAGAAAACAGAGAGGAAATGGAAGTATAGAAGCTTAAGAGAAAGATAATGAGCTATTCAACCTCAAAAATGGGTTTTTGGTGCCATTAAAGCTTGAAATTGGTTGAAAATGGTGGTTGGATGAATTGATGATGATGGTATTTTCGTAAATAAGTGAGGAAGATGAGGATTATTTGGTCAATTGGATATCCAAAAATAAAAAAAATTAATTTGAAGTAATGGCAATTTCGTAAATAATCAGAACTGAGAAGGATTGTTTGGATTCAAAATGGCTAATGTTGAAAATGTGATTTTGGAGGTTAGATTTGCATTTCAACTCAAATTTTGAGTCATTTTTGCAAGTATCCTATCTAATAATTGATAATTTTAGTTTTGAAACTTATAGGATTGGTGGTGTGAAATCTTCGCATTATTTTTCGCTATTTTTATCATTTGTGTGTTCTCTGCATGTTTTCATTTGAATATTTTAGCTACATATACTAATTTGTGTTTGATTCATAATTCTGTCATATTTATTATCTAAACAGAATTTTAGAATGTGTTACCATGTGTTTGGTTCAGATATAAGTAGTAGCTTTGTATATAAATCAGATTTTACTAGTTAAATTTCAAGTGTAAACTTACTTATGTAGTGTTTTTCTTTGTTAATTTTTAAATCAGAAATACACAATATTTTAATCTTTGTATGTTTTTTAAAAATATGTTTAATTTAGAAACTCTTGTAAACTTATTGCAACTTTACTACTTTAGATAGTTGTTAATTGTCGATACCACTATTTTAGAATTCAGAAATTTTCTAAAACTAATTTTAAATTAATTTTTTTTATATTTTTAAATACATTACATCCTTTGAAAGTAATTTTTTTTTTAATTTACACAACTTTTATATGTTTGATATACTTTGGACTTATATACATATTTTTTTTTACTAAGCTCTTTTGTTGTTGATTTTCAAAATAGATAGTAAATACATCAAGTTAATTTCTTGTACATGAATACTTTTCTTTGTTAATTTTTTTTTCTTATTAGATTTTATTTTAGGTATAATGCAGATTTGGCATAATATAACTATTTATTTTACATTTTATGTGGATTTCTTTCAAAAATTCATAACAATTATTTTTTAGTTAATTTTTTTTTTATTATTGATTTTTGATATTTATTTTTTTTGTTAATTTGGGTTTTGTGACATTGAGTATCTAATTTATTTTGATAGACATTATAAATTTAGATTTTTTAACATAAATGTTTTTAATCTGTTTTGTTAATTAAATTATTTATCTTAATTTTTCATTCTAATATGATAGTTTTTTTGTTTTTCTAGATTTTAATGTATTTAAATTGCTAATCAAATTTAACTTTTTGTATTTTAATGAAAACGCTGATGTGTATTAATCAGACTGAGTTTCTTCGTCCTGTGTGGATGTTCTTGATATCATAAGGCTTCAAATTTTATGTAGTATAAATGCATCTTATTATTCTGTATTAGAAATATAATAATTTAATAATAATATATTATATTCTATTATTTTCTATAAAATATAGGAAACTGAAATAATTTCAACAAAAAAATAGAATATAACTTAGCTTTTGTTTTAGAAAATTTACAGACTGATGGAAAATGTTACTTTTCCTCTTCACATACTTTTTGTTAGCTATTAACTTTCAGCTGAACTCCAAAATATTTATGACATTATTTTAAAATAAATATAAATCTAATGTTGTTGAAAATGATTTTGAAACTTTGACAATTTGATAACACCAATAGATTTGATACTAATAATAGAAATCCTTAATATTTTAAAGTTTTTAGTTATTGTATTCATTATTACTATGATAAATGTCTCTGAAACCATCTCTTGATAATATTTTTAATAGAAAAACAATTTCCATTGTAAAATGATTATATCATTATAATAGTTTTGGGAAAATGGCACAAAAAATCCTCAAAATGACTACTACTAACACTTTAAACCTTTAAAGTATTTCAGTTATTAACACAAAAAACTTTAAAATTGGATTTTGTGTACATGACATCATCAAAACTAACGGAACCATTAACACCAATAGATTTGATACTACTAATAGAAATTCTTAATATTTTAAAGTTTTTAGTTATTATATTCATTGTTACTATGATAAATGTCTCTGAAACCATCTCTTGATAATATTTTTAATAGAAAAACAATTTCCATTGTAAAATGATTATATCATTATTATAGTTTTAGGAAAATGGCATAAAAAACCCTCAAATAACTACTACTAGCACTTTAAACTTTTAAAGTATTTCAGTAATACTATAAACCTTCGAATAAAAATTATTAACACAAAAAACTTTAAAATTGGGTTTTGTGTACATGACATCATCAAAACTAACGGAACTATTAACTCTGTTAACAAAAGTATATGAACAATACCGTCAAATGTTTTGAGGGTACGCAGTTCAAAATTTAATTTAGAGGTTTTTTGTGTTAGCATTTTCAATTTGAAGGTTTATAGTGTTAGTAAAATAGTCTGAAGGTTTAAAGTGTCAGTAACAGTCATTTTGAGGGTTTTTATGTGATTTTCCTTATAGTTTTGTCCCAAAAAGTGATTTTAGATTTAAATTCTAAAAAAAATGTTTATTTTTGAATTAATAATGTCATGTTTTTGTGTTGTTTTTAATTTTTTTTTTTTATGGTTTGTCGTTAAAAAAATAGAATGATAAAAAACATTATTAATTAGAGAATTTTACATCCAATTAAATCTGATTTTTTTATCAAGACCAAAATTTTCTTTTCATCCGTAAGACTTATAAATAAAAAAGGTAAATTATGTCTGCGCCCGGGTTCGAACCGGGGACCTTTAGTGTGTGAGACTAGCGTGATAACCGACTACACCACCCAGACGATTATAAACGAGATGAAAAATGATATGTTATTTCAGAAGTTTTTAGGTAATTTCTCTGATTCTCTTTCATTTTGGCTGCTACTTGTTCAGCCGTCGTCCTCAGATTTGGTGTCTGGTGTCCCAGAAGAAACAAATCGTCATAAATTTTCTCCCAGGAAAAATCAAAATGATAACATATCAAGCAATAACATCATCTCTACCAATCGTTTTTTCTCTGTTTATTCCTGTGCTTTACCCAGAAGCTTTCTTCTCAACTGAAATTTCCCTCACAGCAGGTACGTTTTATTCCCATACAAATTTGGAGGGCCCTGAAAATTATTGGCTGAATCTTCTTTCGAGTTTTGTGTTGAAATTCTCTCGGTTTGTTTGCGCGTATAATGGTTTTGGATGCTGAAAAGATTGAATTTTTATTGCCAGTTTACACTTTTGGAATTCTTGTGAATTTTGTGGGAGATTTTTTTTCTCTTGAATTTGTAAGCTTTATGCTCATTTAAATTTTGGATGCCCAGAAATTTGGAATTTTGTATGACAAGATTGAATTTTTATTTGAACTTAGACAATCATGCTTCGTTTTCAGTGAAAAATCAAGAGGAAACGAGCAATGGCAAATATCTTAAAATCAGTGAAAGCAGAGAGAATCTCTGCTCAGTTGGATTTACCAATCGTTAAGGTGAAACAAAAAAATTCTTAAACTGGACTCTGTTTTATGAACTTAAAGCTCAGGTTTTGATGATGATTATTTGCTCTGTTTTTGATAAAATCAATAAGCAGTCTTCTTCACTTGTGGAAGATCTGCACAAGTCAAGATTGAAATTTGATGAAATACAAAGAGAGTAGAAGAGTTTCAGAGTCTACAAGAGCAAGAGCAGAAGTTGAACTATCAAAGGCAAAGAAGTTGGTAAAAGTGCTCACATTACTTATAGAGAGATCGAATCTTGGAGCCGAGGCATTGAAGATTTATGCAAAGGCTGAGGAAAATGGAGAGTATGTTGAAGGTATGAAAAAATTGGAGGCTGTAAAAGAAGAACTGAGTAAGCTAAAGTTTGATTTTCATTCTATATTGGGAGAGAGAATTGCAGCAGAGAAAGAAGTTGAGGAATTGCAGATTAAAACAGAAGGGAATTTGAGATTGTTGAAGAGTCTTGAGAAGGAGATCGAAGTGGCTAATGAGGAACATTCGATGGTTGAATTGCGAAAGATGGAGACATTGATGGAATTCAAAGAGATAGAGAGGTGGAGAGAAGGAAAAGAGAAAGAGGTTCTTGATTTGTTGGTGGAAAAGAATAAGAGAATCAAGAAAATGTTGGAAGAGACAGAGAGATCGAAGGATATTGAGACGAGTTCTGATGTTGAGATGTTACAAACACAACTAAAGCTTGTCAAGAAAATGGAGAGGAGAGTTCACAGCAGAGACAATAGCATGTCGAGGTCAAGCCGTTCTTTCGAAAGAGGAAAGTCCGGTTTATTGGTTTTGAAAGAGGTCACAGAAGTGAAGAAGGAGGAACTTGCTTCTCTTAACGCAGAACTCTTCCGGCTCATGACTATAATGGATGCGTTAAGGAAAGAGATTCTTCAAAACAAAGAAGAAGCAGCTCGCATCAACAAAATCTTGCGTAAAAATGATGTTAAGATTCAGAAACTCAACTCCAAGATACTTATGGCGAAATCAAAACTAGAAGTTGTATTATTCGCCAAAGAAAGAGTTAGCTCTCTTGCTGACAATTTAGTTTGTTCGCTTGAGAAGTTAAAGAAAAACAGAGAAGCTGCAAAGAAAGAGGAGCGTCTTCTTGAAGAAGAGAAGAATGTTACAAAGGCGGAAACACAGAAAATTAAACTCGAGATAGATGAAAAGGAAAGAGAACTGATTTCAAAGTTGGATGAGCTCGATAAAGTGAAGCAAGCAGAGGCTTTAGTGCTTGAGAAGCTTGAAGCTCTCATAGATGACACAATGGAGAGAAGGGATATACAGTCTAAGCATTGTTCAACAGTCACAATCTCAAGGTTTGAGTATGAGTATTTGAGTAAACATGCTTCTCAAGCTGAAGAAACCGCTGAGAAGAAAGTTGCAGCAGGAGAGGCATGGGTTGAAGCACTTAAGACTAGCACAAAAGCGGTTTTTATGGAGACTGAAACTTTGATGAGAGAGAGTGGGATGACGAGGATGGAAGAAGACAGAGAAGCGTTTAGGACGCAAAGGTCTCTATCGACAAAGAAACTGGAAACTGAAAGCTATCTTTCTTCTAAACTTGTTGGAAAATCCGTGAGGTTGAGCGCTAAATTCACACCGGTACAACGAAAGAAGCCAATAAGATACGCATCCGCAAGGACTCCGACTTTCTTTGTTATCAAGAAGAAAAAGAAAGTTCCTACTTTGGTCAAGTTCTTTAGAAAAAGAAAAACGTAAAAACAAACATCATTTTGGCTTTTGAGAAGAATGAGAAATATAGAAGAAGTGTCAATCCATAAATGATTCATATTTTTTTTACGTTTCCGACTCTTGAGTTTTTTATTTCTATCTATTTTGTTTTTTCGACCGTTGAAATTGTGAAAGATAGCGGTTTGGTTCAGACAGGCAATTAGTGATTGGTGACAAAAATCGAATAGTGCAAATTGATTGAACGGTTCAGTCTCCGGCCGTTTCAATTTTTATATTGAATTGATATTTAACAGTTTTGCGGAAGTTGACTTTATTGTTTTGCGGAAGTTGACTTTATTCTTGACTCTTGGTCGAAATATGAGCAAAGAGCTGAAATGCTATTTTGGAAGAAAAATTGATCTAAGCTGTCATCCCATAATCTAATGCCACTCTTTTATTTAAACGAGATGTGATATTACAAATCAATCTTTAGTCAAAGTTACTGAAATTAACCAAATAAAAATAAATTAGTAAAAGTAAAAGAAGTAAAAGAAGTAAAAGTAAATAAAAATAAAATTTGAAAAACAAAAAAAAAAAATTGAATCTCGATCCTCCGCAGCCTTGTTGAGCTCGAGCTCCTCCTCTCTCTTCTCACCCGGGCTCTCTTCTGGTTTCCAAGCTCCTTCCCTGAGCTTCTTCTTCCGTCATCCTTTTCGTCCAACGTAGATCGACGCTTTCTCCACTTCGTCCGACCCAGAATTCCAGTCATCTTTCTGCCATTGTTGAAGATCTCATATTTTGAAGGTGATTTCTTCTATTTCAATTAGAGTATAAAATTAGGGCTTTAGATTTGAAAAATTAGGGATCTGGGTTGGTAACAATGTATTGTGGATAGATTAAGCCATAGGTTCAGTAATTTGTGAGAAGAACGTGGTTATGTTAATCAGATTCATATGCAGAACAACGAAAGTCGAGCTCGAAATTCCTAGACTTTTGATAGGAAAAATGGTACAACTGGTAGAACTGAGAGCGAACTGGAACAACTGAAAACTTAAGTTCAACTGGTACAAATGAGAGCTATAGTTCAACTGGTACAACTGAGTTCAATTTAGTTCAATTGAGTTCAACTAGTACAAATGAGAGGTGTTGTTCAACTGGTACAACTGAGTTCACTTTAGTTCAACTGATTTCAACTAGTATAACTGGTACGTGAGGTATAGCTGCACTAGTACAACTGAGTTAAATTGGGTTCAACTGGTACACGTGGTACAAATGAGAGGTGTAGTTTAACTGGTACAACTAAGTTCAATGTAGTTCAATTGAGTTCAACTGGTATCACTGTGGTACTTTGTGTTCAATTGAGTTCAACTGAGTTCAACTGATCGACTATTTTCATTATATATTCAGGAGAGCATGAGCACCAACCACACAAACATATATTTTGACTATGAAGGGATTTATTCACGTGACGGAGGGGAGTTGAAATGGTTTACAAGTAATTCCACCTATGCTATACCATTTAGGAACTTATCTGTGGAAGAGATAACTTACTCGGCGTTAGTAGATAAGATATGCAGTAAGATTGGGATAGATAGAGCTAATGCACACCTGAAATTGAGTTACATTCCGTTGGTAAATAAACCGATCAACGAGACAAAAAATTTCGTTGATGATGACGTATATGCTTATCTAACAACGGTGGATAACGAGGGGCTAAGATCTGTTTTGCATGTGGAGGTAGTCAAAGGTTTAGAAACGAATTCAGTTTCTAAAGCGGGTAGGAGTGAGCAAGCTTCCAAAGTGGGTAGTTCATTTGATGTGAATTATGAGGAGCCGGTTGCAAATGGTATAGCTGATGATGATGTCTGTAATGCGGTTACTATTTATAGAGCAGTCTCGGAAAGAGAAGAACATAGGGAGCCGATTATTGAGGAGGTGACAGAGAACGATGGTAATGAATTTACTGATGGGGATATGGAGAACGGTTTCGATGGTATGCATGAATATGTTGAGCTTCCAGGTTCTGCAGAAGTTAGTCAGTGTGTTGAAGAATGGGAAGATGGTACAGGTCTTGAAATTGGTCAAGAATTTTGTTCTAAGGAGGCGCAGCAAGATTTGGTTGACAGAGCTGCACATAAGAACTGTTTTGGGGTCCATACTTATAAGTTAGATACAAGGCGACTTATTCTAGAATGCCGTCAGAAGAATCAAGGCTGTAAATGGTATTTACGAGCTGCAAGGTTTAAGAAATCGGATTATTTCAGTGTTAGAGTATACAGAAAGATGCATACATGCTCTCGGGCCGTTGAGAGTACAAGCACTAGTAGAAGGAGAGGCACCCCACGAGTAGTAGCATCTGTTTTGCAGCAAGACTATCCGGGTCAATTTGACACCCCAGTTCCCAAAAATATCGTGAATCTGGTTCAGAGTAGAGCTGGTGTTAGTTTGTCCTATTCTACCGCCTTAAGAGGAAAAAAACTAGCTGTTAGTGATGTGTGGGGCACTCCTGAAGAAGGTTATAGGATGTTATACTCTTATTTGTACATGCTGGAGAAGGTAAATCCTGGAACCGTAACAAGTGTGGAATTGGATGCAGAAAAAAGGTTCAAGTACCTATTCATTGCTTTGGGCGCTAGCATTGAAGGGTTTCAAGCAATGAGGAAAGTGATAGTTGTGGATGCAACATTTCTGAAGACTGTATATGGTGGACAGCTTGTCTTTGCCACAGCTCAAGATCCTAATCATCACCATTACCCCATTGCTTTTGGTGTAATTGATACTGAGAAGCATGACAGCTGGATGTGGTTTTTCGAGAAGCTGAAAATCGTTATACCTGATGATACTGAATTGGTTTTTATGAGTGACAGACATAAAAGCATCATAAATGCAGTAGCGAAGGTGTATCCCCACTCCCAACATAGACATTGTATATGGCATTTGTCTCAAAATGTGAGAGGTAAAGTTCAGCATAAGGTGAACAAAGATCTAGTGGCGGCAAAATTTATCCAATGCGCTCATATTTATACTATGAGTGAGTTCGAAAGGGAGTATGCTGATTTTAAGAAGAGGTTTCCTGCAGCTGCTTTGTATTTGCATGAGACTGTACCGTTGGATAAGTGGGCAAGGTGTTACTTTAAAGGAGACAAGTACAATTTAGACACCAGCAATTCTTGTGAATCTCTCAACAGTGTGTTTAAGGAAGTAAGAAAGTACTCTCTCTTACCAATGATTGATGCGATTATTGAGAAAATGGGATATTGGTTTAACAAGCATAGGAAGACTGCTGCTGATATGCCGATGTCAAAGAAAGTGGTGCCTTATGTGGATAAAAAATTGCATGAACTATGTCCAATTGCTGCTCGTTTAGCTGTGGCTGAGCTAAACAGCTTCCAACTCGAATACACAGCTATTGGACTCGATGGGAAGGCTTACTTGGTGGATTCGAGCAAAACTTGCTCTTGCAGAGGGTTGGATATAGATAAGTATCCTTGTGTTCATGCAATCGCCGCAGCCGCAGCACTGATGAAGAAGGGAGGGAGAACAACAGATATTAGTCTATACGACTTATGCTCTAGATATTACTTGATTGATACGTGGGCATTGGCATACTACAAAATGATTTATCCAGTGCCGAATGAGTCTTGTTGGAGTATTCCAGAGGAAATACTAAATAAGTTTGCTTTACCACCTGATTACACCAAAACGCCAGGAAAAAATCAAGAAAACCGCTTTCCATCCACTGGGGAATGTCGCAGGAAGACAAGTAACAGGTCTGTGTCTGGCAGAGGTTTCGCTTTCTATTTTCAGAGCAGCCAAAGTGGCAGCTCAGTTTGATTTATGTGTGTGTTTTGTAATTTTCGGTTTTGAACAACCATGTTAGACTATATACAACTATGAATCTTTCTGTGTTTGAGTTTGGTGAATTTGTGTGACCAGGTTTAACTAGGTACAAGTATAAACAATTCTAAAGTTCATTTTGTCAAATTCGCACTTTCAGGTTCAACTGGGTACAACTATTAACGTTTACGTGTTGCCATTCGCACTACCAAGTTCAACTGGGTTCACGTATAACTACCAAGTTCAACTGGTTTCACGTATAACTACCAAGTTCAACTGAGTACAACTATTAACGTTGACGTGTTTGTGCAACTAGGTGCAACTGGGTACAATTAATATCAACTTTTGAAGTGCAGTAAACTATTATTAAAGCTTCAGGTGATGTGAATATACCAATTAAGACCTATAAACACATTTTCAACTATAAGAAAACAATTACTTATATGGTAAACATTAATTTTTTATTTTTATACAAAATCATGTTTTCACATCAACCACCCCTTACAATATAAGGAAGACATCAACAATGTTAAGCCTTTTAGGACTGAAAAACCCAAAATATTTAATATTTCATATATTGCAGTATGAAAACGTTATAAATGATGTTTAATGGTCCAAAGTCATTTACACAACTACAATATAATAGTTTAGAGGAATGTTCAACTAGAAATACAATAAAATCGTAAAAGTACAACTATTAAGAATTGGGTTCAACTACTTCCTTGGGGACAACTAAGTTCAAATTTTTTGGTAAATTTACTCAAGTTTGAGTTTTCCGCCAGCGGGAAAAAAATTAAAAATAATAGATTTTTTTTTAATTAAAATCCGGGTCCGACTATTTTTCTGAAAACCCTAGTTACTTTTTGATACTTTTTCTGTTTCTTCTTCGACTTCGACTGAGAGAGAGGGAGAGAGGAGCAGAGAGAGAGAGGTCGAGAGAGATAGAGAGAGAGGGGGACGATCCAACTTCATTCAACAGGTAAAGCTTTCCAATTAGCTCGATTTCAGTTCAGTTTTAATTTTACTTTCAGAAATTCGAAGAAATGGGAAGATTCAGTCCGGTGACCAGTTCGGAATCGTCAGCTGAGCTGGACCCATGCCTCATAGCAGATGATGAATATGGAATGCCCAAAAAGTGTTACTGCGGTGGAGCCGTTTTCACCGAGACATCCTACACCTCAATCGATCCTGGGAGGCGATACTTCACCTGTCGCAATCGTGATGTGAGTTTAGTAGATTGCATAATTACTAGATCAGATTTCTGGGAAAAATAGAAGAATATTTGTGATAATTCTTAGGTATTTTTGTGTAGAATGAAGGGTATCATATTCGGAAATGGTGGGATTTTGTGGTAGACGAAGAAATAGAAATCCTACATCAT